AAACTTTGAGTTATAAAATGGTAATATATTGGTTATTATACCTGACAACAACTTTCGTTTTTTTTTTTTTTGCTTTTGTGATACGTTGTTTTTGCTTTTTCGGTGACGATATATTTCCATATTAGATTTGTGAGTTAAGAAAGAGAAACAGAAACAGAAACAGAATTTCACCTGACGTTTTTTTAATATTTTGGCTAACTACTTTTCGAAATTTAATATTTCGAATATCATTACAAAAACATGGATTAGCTTGTGTTAAAATGGGTAGTCACTTTATGGTTCTGCAAAGCTTGATAATTATTTCGTGGATTTTATGTGAGTATTCCTAASATATTAGAAGATATTAAGGCACAAACTTCATTATAAAAATCTAATATCGTAAGATTGTAGAAGTTCTTGGTGCATTAAGTTCACTTATCCTTACTCAGAGAGCGTTAAGAGTATTGCGCTCTCAATTAGCGAGCTTTGGAGACTCTTTCATGTTCCCGATATCTTTAGGTTTATGAAGGCGGGATCYCACTATAACAGTTTAGTGTGCGGGTTCCTTGTGCTATGTATGTGAAGACTTAAGTTTAAATACTTTTTATTTTTATAATTTCTTATGGACCAAGTAGCCGTTATGTACTGAGGTTTCACTATAAAGTTGAGTTAATCAGGTATGAATGGAGTTGACTTGCTAAGTACAAGGGAAGTCGTCATTAGTAGTCAGGATGTCTACAMWTGACGTGAATTTTAACAGWCKCGGYGGACTCGCTATCGATACCTTCTACATTGTATCATACCGCGGGGATTTCAGATGCTCACACCGTAGTCCTGCCAATGCGGGACAAGTGYACAAGAGATATATGCTCTATTGTTTCCCTGGTGCCCGGCTCTTTCTTATTGAAAATATTTCGAGTTGATACTAGATATCGCCGCACAGAGATTTTGAGATATTCCGTATCCTAAGAAATTTTTTTGTAAGGATATTAATGTTGCAAGGTTCAGTATTCAGCCTGTTCTCTGCCGTCTCAGTGKTAGTTTTAGCTTTCCTGTCTTAAGAGTGCTTTTAAGTTTGCCATAGTTAAGAGCTTACGCCAGGAATTCTCAAAAAATCTAAGAAGTTCCAGACAATTGCAGCAAAATCTCTCAATTTAAAAATGTCTTAAGTTTTCCCTGAAAAAACGTATCTCTTACTTCACACGAATGAAACCGGAGAACAAATAAGTCTGTTTAGAGTTTGTTTGTTATATAACTTTTTTATTTTTTTTTTATTTATTTTTTTAAGTTTCTAATTTTATTTTTAATTTTAATTTCCGTTTTGTATTTTATTTTTTATTCTATTTTTAAATATATTTACAATTCCCGTTACTGCAATATTTTTGCACGCACACAATTTCTTTGCTCGTACTTTTTCACTTTAAAATACTTGGAATGTGTCCCTGCCTCCACTGTTCTGTCCACCTCCACAATTACGCTCTGACCAACCGACTGACTAACTGTACTGTACTAACTGTGATGCGTGTTGAAAAATGTTGAAAAACCAAATTTTGAAAACTAAGGTTTTAGAGAGTAAGAAAACAGAAATATAAAAACCATAAAATAAAAACAAAAACAAATACTAATTCGTATGTATTTCGTTTTATATATGTTGTTGTGTAATGCAACCCTGGATTTCGTGTTCCTCTGGCGCTGTTAGTTTTACCTCCCCCCCGTATATTGTTTTCAGTTAAAAGCATCAATTATTTCAATTTTCGTTTACTCGTTTGCTCGCTTACGCCAAAGCGCTTTATCGCCCATTAGATATTTTGTGTTGCGCCGCTTTTTGCATTCGCCATGTGATTTCATTAAGACATTTTATGCTTTGCACCAAAATCGCTGCACCCACGCACACACACATTCATACACACGCATACAAACGCATATAGACATACAGCTATTTCGCATAGACGCGTTCACGGTCATAAGCAGCAAAARCAACAACAGAAACACGAGCATGTAGTGCAAGTGAATAAATCCAATGGCTTACAGACATATACTTGCATACATACATCCACATACACATACATACATGCATTTAAAAATGCGTTAAATTTTTGAAAACAAAAACACTGAAAGTACTTAAACTCGCGAGAATTACCAAGTCTTCAACGCGCTTCATACATATATTTACGTGTGTATGTGTGTGTGAGCGCATATACTAATATATATTTGTGTAGCTGTATGCAAATCTACTGTTAGGCAGTTTAATTGTGGACATGCTGCTGGCTGGGCCACTGAAAATACCAACAAAATGAGAAGTCAGCACAATAACGGAGCTGAAGGTAAAGCGGCTTACAAGAGAGASCGAAAAAAGCAAAACGCTTAAGATCCCTGGCACGCCTACAAACGCTCGCCGCTTCACACGCACACACTCGGTTTAGTGCCAACGAGCAACCGTTATAAGGCCACATTTGTATATTGTCACACACACATACCAATATATGTATGTGCATATATATATGTATATGTACCGTTATATAAGCTGTAATTTTGKAAGCTGAAACACTTGGCAAAGCCTCGGTGGCGAGTAAACGACGTTGGCATGCATGCTTGTTTGTGTGTGTGTGTGTGTGAGTGAGTGCATGTGTAAATGACGCAAATATGTGTCAAGGCTGGCAAACTCGCACACGGCCGTTCATGACTGGCAAAGCAACAACAATAAAAACTGCATAACAATAACAAAACATTAGTTAACAAAATAACAACAACATACGCTTAACGCTAAGCTGTCAGGCCGGTCAGCCCTCTAAATATATARTAATTGCAGCGCGTGCAGCTTGTCGGTAAATAAGTCGTTTAAAATAACAATAACAACTCTAAACAACTTACGATATACATATTTATATATATTTTTCGAATCAGAATATTTCAGTTAAAGGGCGATATTTTAAGAATACCAAAGATTYATATGTGTTCAATGTATGTCAGCCGTAAAAACTTGGAGCGAATTAACGGTAAACTGAATAAGGCTATAATGAAGCACAGATGGGCTTATGAAACATCATTCGAAACCTCTGAAAAGYATAAACTTAAGATGCAGACATAATAGAGCCTTTTGAATAGTTTCGAACCCAAGTAAATTTCCAATACTTTTGAACAGATCCAATTTGAAAAGTTGAATCCTTGAAAACTTTGATTTTTTTAATTATGAGTTTCTTGAAATTGAAAAGACGCACATATAATATGTGTGGCAGAACCGGCATCTTTCAAATTGATGAATAAGTTAGTTTCAGCAGAGAACATACAATCAGTCGTTATATTTTTTCCGCTTCCAGTCAATTGCACATGAAAAATACTATTTTAAAGGGAAGTAACTTTTACGAAAGAGTTTACTGCTTGATGTGRTGCTGTGAGTACAGATCTCAGATCTGAAATAAACCAACCAAACCAAAATGTTGCCAGTGGTGACAGTGGAAAAAAAAGTGGTGACGAAGAAGCACATCCACCTCAAGCGACTTAATTCGGCAGGCGACCGGGTGAAACATCATATTTGGAACAGAAAAAAATTAGTATTTTCCARCAGCTGATGGGCGCTCTAGATCTTCTATTCAGTTGTACACTCTTCCAAGATTGATAAAATTGATATACCAAAATATATACCAGAAAATATCTCAGTCTAACGTCATAAAGGAAGCGCTGAATGTCCTCTAGGAGTTGCACTTCCTCACCCTGATATTCACCAAGCACCCTTTATAGGCTAGCCGTTTGATACCTGTTATTAAGATGCAATGTGCAGCAAGATAATTTACATTAATTTGCGTCATCCTGGTTAYGGGTCGCCAAAAGGTGATATGTAAAACTGAAAAGTGCATTTTTGGCGATTTCAATGGCTCTAKTGCTGTTAGGCGGAGAATCGATGTGGCAAATGAAAGCTTTGAGTGCCCTGTAGATGATCCAAATTTCTTTTAGCGTACATACTCTGACCGCTTTATGGCGCAGAAGGGTAGAAAAAGAGGCAAGTTAACCCGTCTGCTTACTAGATGATTGGCAAGCCCCTAGTGGTGGTAAGCGACTGATTAATGGCGATAATGAATGTTCGGCATCTTCACATATTGCAAAGTACTTGACAGTATAGATTTAGARGCACGACAGTCGGGTCTACGAAATCCGGAACGGACCCGAATTTTTATCYGGCCAAGGACTGTCAACCGGGCAGAATTCTGCCGTTACAACAACAACAACAACAGAGGCTTTTCGTATAGAAAATGTATAGGAAAAATATRAGAAAAAACTTTCGGCATAAAGAAAAAWTATATATACTATACATATGTACATTAGTGCGGRTCGATATAGAGAGAGCCAAAAAACGGAAAAACCGCGTATGCGGGAAATGTTCCACGGATTATTTCGAAAAACTTTGCACACAATACTATGGGTCTAAAGAAATTTAAAGCGTATGCAAATTTTCATAATTTGTTAGAACTGGACAACTATTTCGCATATCTCCTCTACAAACGGTTATTCAGAATTCACCCTCGACTTAAAAAATGTTGGCTCGTACCCGAGCTTAGGCCAATAGTCTCGGTCAGAAATATCCACTGAACATTCCTTGCATACGCGATTTTATGGAAAAAAATCATCTCGCGCTAATATACATACATTGCCATATGAACCTTTTGAAAGGGTATTTAAGCTAAAATAAAGGCTGTAAGTCATTTGATATCGCTTAATTGGTATTTATGACCCCAATTCCGACCATATGGACCAAGGCTGGCTGTCGAAATGAATTTTTGTGCAAACCACCGACGWTTCCTTTGCGAGATAACAATTAAAATGCTTAAAAAATAAAGTAAATAAGCCGTTWTAAAAGTTATGAGTGTGTGCTTATATTGACGCAACAATAACGGTATATACCTGTGCCTCGCAATTAGTGCGAAACAAGGCTTAAACTGCTATATTCTTTAGCGCATTTTCCGGTCACACAATGGCACAGGCCAATCCATGTTTAAAGCAAAAAAGCGAGAATTTAAGCGATTCGCKGCGAATATTATGCAAAACGCTGCATTATTGCGCATGTTTCGCTCTTAAATGCACTTAAATTGCATGCGGCCACAACACAACTGATGAAGGGCAGCGTTAAAGTACACGCACACACATGCGCAGSCCACTGTGCATGTGTATTTATGTTGCAAGGCAGTGTGGCAAGGACACTCGCTTTAAAGCGAGACTCAAACAGCGCTGAATGCATGAGCTGGTGTGTGTATGTGTGTGCCTGTGATATGTCGGTGAGCGTGTGTGTGGCCAATTCGTGTCAGGTTGACCGCGTTGGCAGCTTTTTCATTTCGTTGCTGTGTTGCATGTATGTGCTGTGTGCAGCGAACGCATTGAATTTCGCTGAATGCAGTTAATTATCGTACGAACGCATACRTATGTGCAGCTATGAATATAAATTCGCTTATATATACAAGCATAGGTGTCATTAATATAAAATGCGCATGTATATGAAGGGCAATCAAGCCGAAAAGTGGCACAGGCGAAAAGCAATAATATGAAAGGAAAGTTGTAAAAATATACCATCGACATTTAAAGTATATTTGTGCTTGCAAAAAGTCGTGTACGAAGTCCGAACATTGTTGCTTTAACTCTTTCTWATTTTCATTTCGCTCCATTTCGCACTTTTTCCACCTAACGGCGTCACTAACTGTAGAGTAACTGGCAAATTTAATATACACACTTTCACGAATTTCCATATTTCACAGTTATATTAAATAATAACACCACATTTTAGTTGCACACTCACACACCTTTCATTTCACCACAATTCATTTTCATTGCTTTGCACTTTTGTTTTTCATTTTCCATTTGTTGTTTATTTTTTTTTTTTTGTGTTTCATTGCAGACCTTTTAGCGTATTTTGACATTTATTTTCATACCGATTCGAATGGTTCGATCGTTTATTCACCGCCAAAATTAAAATTGAAAGGTATTTACACGATTTTCTTATGCTTTTACTTACATACATACATACATAAGCTGCCTACATACACATACATGATTGCTTACATACCTATATATAACACAGTTAAACAATTAAATAACAGCATTCACACCGTTAAGTATAACACATAGTTAAGCCAATTAATATTAGTATATGCGTTTTATGCCACATGCTGTTAGACGAGCCGTAAACATGCATTGTTGGAATTTACAAAAGGTG